TTTACAATCAATTTTTTTTTTTTGCCTTCTGTGCATTGAAGGTAAAGAAGAGATCAAATTATGAGAGAAAGAAAACACTACTTTAAAACTGGTGTGAATCGTAAACCACATCAAAGACACAGTAGGTGAAGGGGCTACTTCTACTGGTTTGTACTTGTTTGCTCTCATAATTTGCCTTAGTTTGGTTTTATTGAAGCAGCACAGTTATCTTCATCTTTCTTATTATGAAATCATGAAGAGTATCTGGATAAAGCTTTTTTTTGGTTTATGCAGTCAATAATGATAACATAATAATGCCCTTACATCACATCAAATAACTTTTGGAATACTTTCAGTCTCTAGCTTGCATTCTGTCTAGCTCAAGACCAAATCCAAGCCTCGTAAAATATGATGGCTGTAACTTTAAATCTTAAGTTGTCAATCTTGCTCTTTAGGTAAGAAGTTGAGTTGCCAAGGTTACAATGGGTATATGATGTAAAGTCCACGCTGAAAGTACTGGAATGAGGCATACTTTCTGAAATAATATTAACACTTTCTGTCTCATGATTTCTGTCCTCAAGCATACAATCCATGCCTGGAGTTGATAGCCTAAGCTGAACTCCAAGTGTCCTAAATATATCAGGATATTTCATGAAAGTGCTGATTCTTATGAAAACCTTCCAAGTATTTGGAATTTGACAAGGCACGACCTTTGTATTCTTAGATAACCTTTTGGGAGACAATGCTAGCCTGGTCTGCTTCCCTCCTTGCAAATCCCAAAACAGAGGACTCAAATGTCTACTCTGTGATTATCCCCATAAGAAGTCCCGAAGCACAAAATAACTGAACAGTGTTTTAATACACACATGTGCAAGTGCACATATAGACATACATCTATAAACCCCACTTTTTTCCCCTCTTCAGAACAAGGTAACCTGAGCTATTTGTATGTTAGTATCAAAAGTATCAAGTATTCTGTTGTCTCAAACCCAGAGATGAGCATAAACTTGGATAAAGCAGCACATTAAAATTTAGTTGATGACAGTGGTCCTGACATCTTGATATGCAATCTGAGTCTAAGATAAGGAGATGATTGGTGTTAAGAATTCAAACTCTGAAGATGAAGCTGGTTAAAATTTTCAGCCTTGACTACAGCACGAAGAAGAGGAATTGTATTTTTAGCGTGGTGTTCTGAAAATCTTTTCCATTTGGTCAAGCTGTAACAGGAATAAGCTATATATATATAAACTGCATGACTAAAGGGGATAAATAACATCTCTGGTGGAGAATATTGCTACTGAAGTAGCAAAAGCTTCAAGCATGCACCACTGAGCACTCTGAAGGTCCTATAGTCTGTCTTGTGCCTGGATATCTAGTATATGGCTATCAGTGCTGTACTATGTGATTACTTCTTGCAGAGTTTGGTTATCTTGCACTCACAGGATGGCGTGATGAGGGATTCCATGTCCGTAAACAGTGTCAGTTGACATGAAGTTCTTGAACCTCTAAGCCAGGAGCAAGTACTCGCAGGGGGCTGGCTACATCCCTCTACATATTTTCATTTGGATCAGAGGCATGTTGCAGAACTGTAAGGGGGATACTAAACAAGTTTGCAGATAACACAAAACTGGGAGGAGCTGTTGACTTCCTCAAAGTCAGGGAGGCCCTGCAGAGAGACCTCCACAAATTAGAGGACTGGGCAATCACCAACCATAGGAAATTCAACAAGGGAAAGTGCTGGATACTGCACCTGGGATGGGGCAACCCTGGATGTATGGACTGGGGAATGAGATGCTGGAAAGCAGTGCCACGGAAAGGCACCTCGGGGTCCTGGTCGTTGGCAAGCTGAACATGAGTCAGCAGTGCCCTGGCAGCCAGGAGGGCCAACCCTGTCCTGGGGGGCATCAGGCAAAGCATCGCCAGCCAGTCGATGCAGGGGATTGTCCCGCTCTGCTCTGCGGCGGCCTCATCTTGAATATTGTGTGCAGTTTTGGGCACCACAATAGAAGAAAGATATTAAACTCTTAGAGAGTGTCCAAAGGAGGGCAATGAGGGTGGTGAAGGGCCTTGAGGGGAAGCCGTATGAGGGACGGCTGAGGTCACTTGGTCTGTTCAGCCTGTAGAAGAGGAGACTGAGGGGAGACCTCATTGCAATCTGCAATGTCCTCATGAGGGGAAGAGGAGGGGCAGGCACTGATCTCTTCTCTGTGGTGACCAGTGACAGGACCTGAGGGAATGGCCTGACATTGCATCAGGGGAGGTTTAGGTTGGGTATTAGAAAAAAGTTCTTCACCCAGAGGGTGGTTGGGCACTGGAACAGGCTCCCCAGGGAGGTGGTCACAGCACTATGCCTGATAGAGTTCAAGAAGTGTTTGGATGATCCTCTCAAGCACATGGTGTGACTCTTGGGGATGGTCCTGTGCAGGGCTAATGGTTGGAGTCTGATGGTCCTTGTGCGTCCCTTCCAACTGAGCATATTCTGTGATTCTGTGATTACTTTCTGATAGCAGAAAAGTTATTTGCAGTGAGGAAGAAGTCCTGTACTTCTTGGATAGACTTCTGTTTCAGTTCCTACTTTTTTGAGTGTACACGTTATAGCCAAAAACCTCAAAATAACTACTATGTAGCTTTGGTTAGCAACAGGTTGAAACTGCACCCGAAAACCAGATCTAGGGTGAATAATGCACTTACCTGCTTTAAGAAAAGTGCTTTTTAAAAGTTACATAAGAAGTGAGCACAATGTTTGCTTTAAAAACATTTTGCACTTTGTGTGAGCATTTGAATTAAAAGCTCACTGAAATTTCATGGGAATATTTGGGATATTTAATATTTACAGTATCAAAGCTGATAGCTTTGCAAATAGTATTAAGCCATGTGTTAGTCTGTGTTAGTCCATTCATGATTAATAATTATGGATTCTTCAGGTCTTAAAGGTCAAATATTACCCCTACTGTATGAAAATAATTTGTCAAATATATTGGAAAAAACATTTTTCTAATAAAACTGAGTGATCAGTAAAGCTGTATCTCAGTCAACTGTTTCTACAGATCATAGAATGCATGATAATCACTAATGTTAGTAATATAAAGAAATTGAGGGGGAAAAAAAAAGAAGACATAGTGTTGGAAAAAAAAGAGAAGACATAGTGTTAGAAAAAACTTTTAAGTATTTTCCTTTTTGAGAATTTTATCAGATTACCTGTTTCAAGGAAGTTGATAAGTAGTCGTTGCTTTTCAGAGAAAAGCAGTGTATCTATCAGAATTTTTTAATCACTGCAGAGCTAATGTTCTGAAGAAAATGTTGTCGTTATTGCTGCTTTTTTTGTTGCTTACAAGTAGTTCTTGCCTTTATGAACAAAATACTCTTCTGCCTTATTCTTTTTCCCTTTTTCTTTGAGGGTGTGTGTGTTTATTGTGATCTCATATCAATAATTATTTGTTATTGAAGATTAAATAATTCTGGTTTGAGTGGAATATTTGATTACCTTCCAACTACATAAAACTCATGTGCAAAACTGTATTTTTCAGTGTTCAATATAGAATATATTGTACATTTCTTAAAAAAATAGATTAAAAAATCAATGTGTGTATAAATAAAAAGTCTTCAAAGTTTTAAATTTTTGAAATCAGTTGTACAATTATCACTGAGTAATTTTTGACTTAAAAACACAACAACCTGAATCTTAAATTATTTTTAATTTAACAGCTATATCTGCTAGCTCTCAGTGAAAAGAGATACTTTGTCATCTCTTAAAATGAGACTATTCTCATTAAATTAGTATTTCCTGTAGTCTGAAAAGTGGTATAGAACAACAAACTCAAAAGAGAAATGGATTGAGATAGCTTGGAAGAAAAGGAGGTTTTGTTACCTAGGAAATGAGTGAGTAAAAGTACTTAGCACAATTCTTATCGTGTCAGACATCTGAGGCCTTTTGTGTTTCCTAGATTTTAGTTATGGCAGTCAAGTTAGACTTGAAGCAAAGTGACTTTAATAAGAAATCCTTTGAGAAGGCAGGCAAATAGTTTGTTTTCAACTTTTCTAATTGAACTGTTGCTAGTAGATGTATTTGGACAGAGTGCTTTAATAAAATTGTATTATAATAATAATAATGATGATTTAACGTTATTTCTAGGACTGTTGAGTGCTTGCAAACATTTTGGTGGAAATTTTATTCAGTGAAATTTTGCAAGAATGATACTTGCAATTAATTTTTTTTTTTTTGGAGAATGAACTATTGTGCTGACGCACGTTTTAATTAATATGTTTTAGAAATCATAATTTGGGCATTTTTGTGTATAAAAATTTGACTGCCATGGTATGTTTTTTTCCCCATTATTTTAATATTGGAAACAGCTGAAGATTTTTGCTTTTGTTTAACACATTATTAGGAAGGGTAAGTAATGATTGTTTCACAAATACATGAGCTTCATTTATATTTGTAATCACATTTTAATTATTGGATCAGTATTTGTGAATGTGCTGTCTGTTTGATTCAGTCAGATAACAGCAGGGTGCTGTTACTAAACTATTCAGATTGGTAACAAATTGTGAAATTGTCTTGAAGACTGAACAGTTTTGCGTAATTGTTGTTTGTTAACTTGTAATATCTGATGAATATGTGCTCAGCAGATGCTGTCCAGATATCTTTCAGTTGACTCTATTTTTTAGACTGTTCATATATATGCAGGAACCAGATGGATTATGATCTTGGATTTAATTTGTTTTGGATTTTAAACTCATGTAGCAACTCACCCCCCCCAACCTGTGTAAGGGGAAGTTTTGCAGTTAATTTTTTTTGTTGTCAAGGTAAGGAGTGATAGCACTGTGACCACAAGTTTTGGAAGAGTTTGCAGGGGGTGGTGTCAAAGACTTTTAAGTTTTGCTTATGCACATTCTTCCTCTTTCCCTCTCAACTTGATCATTCTAGTTGCCATAACAACTTCATAATAGCAGCGCATTTACTGCTGTAGTTAAGGTTGTGTCAGCACTTCCATTATAAGCTACTGTTTTCAGGAATTTCTAATTTATTCACAGGCTTAAAAATGACACACAGTAAGCCTATGTAATTGGTTTTAATGTATGGTATCAACTTTTTGAAAGCTGCTGTTGTCTGAGCTCTGATGGCATGTATAAAATATATTTTTTCAAGTTTTTTTTCTTTTTTACTGAGAAGTAGCAAAACATTTTTAGTCTAAAATTAATTTTGACTGGTTCCCATCTGCCAGAGGTATGAGAATCAACATGTTCTTTTGCTCTACCACAATGCTCCATCACGCCTGTATCCAGTTAGACCCATCTGTTCCTGTTAGTTAAAAGGTTAGTGTGAACATGGTGCTTTTCTGGGAAGTAAGAAAAATATAACCTCTTTAATATGAGAATTTCATATTGCATTAAGAAATAAATGTTTGGCATCTTCAATACTTTTATAGTTAATTTTATGTTAAATAAAGACTAGCAGTCTTAGATGGGGGATGATTTTTGAAATACAAGTAGTAGAGGGCGAGTCTATGGACAAAAGCTAGTACTGAAAAAAAGTCAGTCATTGTAGATGCAATTTCTGTTGAAGAGTTTAGCAAGGAATTGTGCATAACTACAGTACAACTTTTTGCAATCTGGAAATTGTTTAACCTGGGTAACCTGTCTGAGGGATTATCTAATTTTCAGAAGATATGCTCTGTGCTTTGGAACAAGTGATTCCACTTGGAATGTGATAAAGGATTTGTTCAAAGACTTTACTCCTCCCAAATGGATATTTTTTTTAAACACATTTGTTTCAAGTGAATTTGCAAGGCACAGCATGAACTTGCTGCCCTGAATAATAATGTATTGTATAGCTGTGAGGATTCACGGGATTTTTGTTTGCCTTTTTTTTTAACCTATCTTATTGCCAAATGTACTGCAAGACACTTGCCTCTAAAGCAAAATTATGCCTTTTTGCTGTAGGAGACAACAATATAACCGTATGTTACACAGTTTTAGAAACTGTTCTGTACTATTGTTACTCATAAATTAGAAGGGCAAAAAACTTTCTGCTGCTTTTTAATCCCTTATTGTTTTTATTTTACTTTGAAATAAAGTCTTCACTTACACTTGCTTCAAATCTAAGTAATTTTATGTTCCTTTTTTAGTTAATCTATGATTCTACTTCAGTGTAGTAAAATATAATTGCAGGTATTTAGACATTTGTTTGTATCACTTCAGTTGATTGATGTTTGACAAACTTTAGCAACAACATGTAACTTTAAGACTAATTCGATTTGATTTTAATGGTATGTCGTAATCATAACTATTAATTTCAAAGGCAAATTTCTTTGATTTTTATTTCTATATATTTAATTTAATCAGTCTAGTTTTAAAGGGTTTTTTTAAGTACATCTTACACTGAAGAAAAATTGTGGGTACTTCTCAACTGAGTAATATAAATAGTTTTTTAAAAGCTAATTGATGTCTTTGGCACGGACTTTCTGTTTGATCCTAGACAGGTGAAATATTCAACCTGGATTTCCTATGTCCAAACACTTTATCATCCTTTTATTCCTTCACTTTTTAATGTGCTTTCCACTTGCCTCCCAGAATCTGGTTAATTTTTAGCCATTTTCTATTGCTGCTTTTGAAATCATATTCAGCAAATTTGTTTTGGAGTTTTTTCCCAACTGACTATAAGATTTAACAACCAAAACCTATAAATGTTGCAAGAAAACCCTCTTAACTCCTGAATTAAGAAATTATTTTGAAAGAGCTACATCATTATGGTATTTGCAAATTGCATTTCTTTTTCTCAGTTTTACAGAAATCTGCATTTGTTCTCCTATTATCTTCTGTTAGTTTCTACTTTTGCTCCCTCCCCATCCCCTGAATTTATGGAGCCTTGAATTTTAGAGAGTTCTTAGACCTGGAGGATTAATTTTAAACTTTAGCATGAGCAGTTAGTTCACCTTAGTTGTTTTCTAGGTTCTATGTTCTGTTGTGATTTTAATTATAAAAGATTTTGGCCTCTCTCTGGTACGTAAGAATTCATGGAAACATTTGCATCCTTTGCAGATTTCATAGCTATGAGAAGTTACTGTGTCTCGTCTCTGCAACTGTCTTCTTATGAGCAAATATTTGAAGAGAATCTTAACTTGAGATTAGGTTGGTACTGTTTTTCATAGTACACTTCAGATTAGAGGGAATATTGAAAGGAGTAGTTTAATGTTGCAGACTCTGGGTAAACTGTAGTCTATCTGCATATATTTTGAAATCTGTAATGTAGTTCTCTGGAGCTGTTAAAATTATAGTAGTTAAAAAGTTTTACTAGAAATTCTCTGAAAGATCTCCCTCCTTCATCAATGAAAATTAGGGTAAAAGGTAATGTTTGATGTCAATTGAATTTCAGAAAGCAGTATAAAGCTAATAGTACTAATAAAGTCTGAGTTGTTAGGCTAGGTTGTTCCAAAAGGTTTTTGTTTTTTTTTAAAGGTATGTGCTATGTTGATTTTTAATGTACTAGAGGTTAGGTAGGGGAAGTGTCATATATTTATGAAGGGACGAATTAAATAGAATTACAGGTATCCAGATTTTTTTTTTAAAGCCTATGGTTTGCAAATCGTAGAAACTATTATCTATAAATGCCTAGGTACAACTTGTTTCCAGAAGACAATCAGCTATGGATCCCCTTTCTTCTTCATATCTGACATTATTTTGAAAACAATTTCCTTCAAAAATACTACATGGTTACAAAATAACTGAGATTAAAAGAGGTTTTTGGACATTCACTAATGTAAAATTTTATGCCTTTTCTTTCTAATAGATGAACATTAATTTCACTGAAATTATATTGTTCAGCCTTCAGTTGAACTAAGGTTCGAATTTTGTTAAGTTTCAGACTTACCTGAAAGGTTATTAGTTTCCCCGTATTCTTCTAGTTTGAAGAATGTTCTCTGTGAGCCATGTGTGTAGTTGTCACCCAGCAGATAGTCATGCATCTGAAAAACACATGTCCATAATTCAGATGGTTTCATAGTGATATTGTGTGGTTCATTCTCTGTCTTGTGATGTGACAAATGAGCTACATGTTTATATTCTGCAGAAGAGCAGGGCCGTCCTGCAAAAGACACAAAATTGCCAGTTTCCCGGTAAATAAGGAATGATTTCTGGAAGTCTCCCGGGAGAGGTAGGAAAACATGTCTAGTTCGAAAACCTCTATAATCTTCCTTCTGTATGTCTGCTTTTGTACATGTATTGTGTGGGAAAAGAAGTCCTTTCTTCCTGCTTTCAGACTGTATGCAGGGTTTTCTAAAGACTCATTTTATAAGCTTGGCAATTTTGAAGTGAAATCAGTACATAAAGATATAATTTGGACTTGCCTGATAATTAGGACACAATTAAGGACTACTGCAGTTGTACAGTTTAAAATCTGTCTCATTAAGTAATGAATTCATAAATTAATATTTAAAATATTGGAATTTTAGTTTGCTCTTGCTAATTATGTATGTTGCTGTCTAGTCTGTTAAGTAAACTTTTCTGGTTTATGCATTTTAATCCTGTAATTTTGCCAGTTTAAAAACATCTACTGATGCCTTTGCCAAAAATAAGAAGAATGAATGAAGTAATGAATTCACTTTCACTGGCTAGTTAAAAGCCAGTTTTAACAATATATCAAGAAAGTCTAAAGGAGAAAGGAGTCCAGTACTGCTCTCATTTTGAAGGGCAATATCAATGAATAAGGCACCGTTGAGAGTGCATATTGAAAGGCCAAAAAATCAGAAAATATGACTTTCATATGTCCGTGCATCAAGACGTACATTGTCTTGCAGTTTTATATATGTGAAGGTGCATTCTTTGTTTAGAGCTTGGTTCTTTCCCATTTTAATCAACACTTTAGTATTCAATTAATGAATCCTGGGAGCTGAGCTTTATTATATTAGTCCACTTGTGGAGGAGGAACTGGGATTCTGTCTCAGAAGGAGGATGTTTTGTTTTGGTGTTGGGTTTTGGGGTTTTTTTTGTCCTTCTGAGGATTTGTTGTTGTAGCATTGGCAACTGGAAAAAAACCCCAATACAACACCTTTACAACCATTTATGACAGATTCTATATTATAACTCTTTCATTTTAAAATTATTTTAGAATTTTGAGAAAGATTTATTTTGATGCCATATTGTTTCTTTAAAATTTTAAGAATGTTTTATGTGCGGGAACTAAGGGAAAGAGGTAAAAATAGATTATAATGGATATTATTTACAACATAGTCCGTTAGGTAACTATCTACACTTGAATATTTGAGTAACCAAAGATAGGACAAACTGATCTATACGTAGTGCATTACTTATCTGTTTGCACGCTGGGTGTTTTAATTATGCTCAGTTACAATTTCTTAAATTGCATTTTTAAAAATTTGTCAGGTTAAAGATGTTCTAGGAGAGAATTAGCTTCTTGGTGAGTAGTGCTGGCATAATATAAATAGCATCTTCAAACACCTGTTCAGGCATGCAATTCTGGTTTTGTCACTGGAGGTCAAAAAGTGTACCCTGATAACTTAGTGTCCAATGCTTCTTTCTATATCTGGAGTTGGAATGTACAGTAGGAAACATCCAATACCTTTTAATAATTATTCAGTTATTTAAATGGTGTTTGAATGCAATTATTTTCCACTTTCATTCAGCTGGGGATTATGAAAATGTTAGACTTCGTTTTTTCATAATGTACTTTTTTGAGTGACTCAGTGTATGAATGCATTTGTCAGTTGGATTATGAGTATCGTGCTCTATGCCTTATCTCAGCCTTATTTTTATGGAATCTCTGTCTTTTTTTTTCAATTACACAAACGTCAAGTCTCAGAGGGGAGCACAAGACTCATGCTTCTGTGATTCATCACATGATCTCCTGCCACGCTGCAGGCATCCTGCATAATGGCAGCAAAAGACTGCTATTTCAGTACCCTTCTGTCAGCCCATGTGTGAAGCATACTGGGGTAGAACATGAAAGATTTGCAGACGAAAGAGGCCTGGGCATCACGAGCTGGGTGAGAGGCCATAGGGCTGTGCAGAAACACAGAGAAAGCCTCAGCCCCTATCTTGCAGTTGCGGTACCTGTAGGACAGGAACATGCTTCTCACATGGGCTGATAAAGATATGTGTCTGCATCACCACTGAATGGGATTGCCCATTGCCGTGTTTTTGCCTAATACATGCAACTTCTACGTTTGGTTCTAGTATACTTCAGATAACTGCTTGTTGATTGCCACTTTTTAAAAGAGAGACGAACGTTAAAATCTGACACTTGCAAAAGAATACATCTATTCAGTTAAAATATCTCTTACAGAGACGCGAATAACTGTATGATGAGAAGAAACGGGAAGATAAGCTGTGATTCTGTTCATCCAGAGCATTTTAGTACCTTCAGAAATGTCAGGTTTTGCTTCCTGCTGGGTATTTGAATGGAGCAGTGTTCTAAGAAACTCTACCCTCCATGGAATAGGCTGCGTATGCAAATGGAAGTTTTGTTGTTCCATGCCTTTTATTTCTGGGAGGTTTTTTTGACCTACCTTTTCAGGAGGGTGCATCTTCCCAGTCACCTGTTTTTTACAATTTGAATTCTTTTTTTTGGGGTGACTGGTCAAGAAAAATTTTTTTCCTTGTCTCTACTGGGAGTCGGGGATGGGAAGAATATTCTTATCTGCAAAAATCGGATTTGTTACCCATTGTGCAACAAACCAATAGTTACACACTCGAGAGAGACATTGATTATTTATTTCAGAGTTGTGCAAGCCTCAGTGCTCAGTGGCATTCCATTAAGCTCCCCACTATCAAAACTTTACTATTTATACATTTTAGCAAACAAAGGACTTAGTGTCCGTTGGCTACAAGTTACATGGTTATCTTGTTAATTAATGTTCTGTCTTCTATTGGTTAATGATTCTCTTGCTTCTCATGCTGATTAGTCCTCATGCTCATTCTTTCCCTTCTTTTGAGTCAGTGGTCTTCTTGGGTGAGTGCTCTATGAGTCAGTGGTTGCCATCTCCCCCTGCTGGAATTACCTTTTACCTATTTGGAGCCGATTTCAGCACAATTAGTGAGTTGGCTTTATTAATTTCTTCCTTATCTTGGGAGTTCTGCCATATAGCCCATAAATTCTACATTCTTTGTGTCCACTATCAGTGGGCCTCCTTCCTAAGCCTTGTTAACTGTTCTTCCCTTAGGTCTGAGATCACTGAAGCATGTCCAGCCCTAAAACCTAGCAAGGCTATTCTACCAACAAGTAATTTGTTTTTCTAACACATAAATATCACTTAGAGCTTGTTAGCTGCTCTCTGTTTCATGGATTAAATCTCCCTTCTTGCTGATTAGGCTTGAAAGTGTACAAAGATCAAACACCAAAGAATATCCTTTCCTAAAAAAATTTTTACATGTTCCAAATTTTGCACGGTATTACTGTATCATGTTTAACGGAAAGACTTAAAATTAAGAAATTAAATCTTAGAATGTAGAAATTGACTGTTATCTGTGTGCTTCAGCTTTTATTTGGCTCGTCCAGAATATTACCTTCTAGGAGCAAACAGGACCCGTGAAACAGCTGCATGCTTTTCAGTAGCTTTAGGAACCTATCAGTGCAATTTCATGCACTTTATCAATCAGTGAGATTCTAAGAATATTTTGAGACTATTTTGTGTATTAGTTGAGACAGTTAAAAGACAGTTGAGTGCCTTTTGATTTTTTAAAAATATCTTTCAGTGGATAGATAGTCATGTTTCAGAGACCTCCCTTTTCATCATCCACTTTCCTGTTATCTCAGTAACAACACCTGCAAAAAATTTCTTAAATATAATAAAAAATACCTTAAATATATTATTGCTGGCAGCATTTTCTACCTGGGAGAAAAGAAGTGCTGTTTGTTTAATGAATTAAAGATGACATTTGCCTCCAACAGCCAAAAAGATGCTACTAACTGTAAAAACACCTCAACTTTGAAATTGGTCCCAATATGGATGGCTGACTACAAAATGTACCCTCTATTATAAAACATAGTTTCTTTTGATCAGGCGATCTACTTCTGAAAGTAAAAGAGATGATGAATGTTCTGTTGATATAACAGAAAATAGCTCTATAGTTTTAATGAGGGTCATTACAAAAGTATGTTGTGCATGTTGATTTAGAGATCTGATTTCCTCTGTGTGTGTTCCAAATTGCTGTAATCTTCTGTGCAGACCACTGTAATCTTCTACAAGATAGGAGGACAACTTGAAAATTTATTGAGCATTTTGAGATAATCCACAGGATATGCATTCAACAGTATTAAATTATACCTTGAATAAAGAGTGGAAACAAAATATTGTGCCAGTTTGGAAGTACTTTATTGGTTGTTCTTGAAGTAATCAAACTCCTTCTTTGGTGAGAACCGTGTTTAGAAAAATGACATTGGAGTAATCAAACTTAGAAGGCTTGTCTCAGGTAAGCCTTAATTTCATATTACTAATAATGACTTTGAAATAATATTTCTTATAAATTATATAATTTATGCTTGTGTAAGACTATAACCTTGTAGTAGATGTGATGAGGGCTGCTTCTATAGTGAATAAATGAATGAATGATATTTATTGATATTAATGGATATGATGATAATGGATGGCATTTTATGATATTAATGGAATATAACGAAGAAATGTCTTGAAAATTATAAGTAAATGTAGAATGTACTCCTTGTCTTGAAGCTGTTGTTTTTTTTTTTTATTTTTTAAACAAATTGAGATTTTAATCAAGCTTTGTTTTATGCTTTCAGTAAGAAAAACTTTAGCTAGGGACAGAGGTTCAGGTGGTTTGTTATGAATTCTTTGAATAAGACTGTTGCCTAGATAGTGATTTATTTATTTTTATGATCATGTTCTTAAATAGAATAGAAATAGTGATGCCACTAGTGGAATCTACTAAGGAAACTAGATTTTAAAAATTTATTTCATTTAAACTATTTGCTAATTAAAATAAGAAATTAAATTATAGGAAGCTGTAATATTAAACATTTCTCCTGTAAGTATGACAGGCCCAATTCTTTTCTGGTGTAGCTGGTTGCATTTCAACAGCAATAAATGCCCATCTGCTTCTCAGGGTTTCTTGGCAACTTCAGTGTGCTAAAAATTATAAATGCTTTAAATGATACTGAAAGTTGCATAATTTTGTTTTACTGAAGCCTTTATTGGAACAAACTGTTCTGACAAAGTGTGACTAGATATAATATGTATTTATACTTTTTTTTGTGTGAGTTTGAAGCTGAATTTTCTCAACATTTATGATTAAATAATAAATCTCTTAGAAGCTTTGGCACTTGACACAGAAAAGTGAGCTGTTGTCGAACGCATCTATTAAATTGTAAAATATTATTTCATTGGGGTTGTGTCATTAAGAATTGGATGGATTAATTTATTGTCCAGGTAGACACTTATTGTAATTCTATTTATTATGATGAAAAAATAGATGATGTAGGTTCTTTTGCCATAATTATTCTGATCTTCCCATTTTTGCACTACAGATCTATAATTGTCATTTTGGTGGAAAACATGGGAAAATAATTGCAGACTGGAGAAAAATAGGAAAAGAAAATGGACAATAAAACAAACAAAAACCCCCCGAAACTAAAGAAACTTTGAATTTGGGCTGGTAAAAAGAGATTACCCAGCAGTTTAACTATGTACATGTGTATGTGATACTTCTGATAGGGGTAGAAGATCAGATGATCCTGGTTTCAGGTTTTATGAGCTTTATCTCTCTAGCAAGGGCAAAAGAAGCCTAGCATAGAAGTTGGCAGGGCTGATCAAGAGGGCTTTAAACTAGGTCTGAAAGGGGAAGGGCTTGAAATCAGGCTCTCCAGAGATGAGGCTGAGGGTGGAAAGCCAGGATTAGGAGTGATATCAGCAGCCCAGCTGAAGTGCATGTACACCAATGCACACAGTACAGGTAACAAACAAGAGGAGCTGGAAGCCATTGTGCAGCAGGAAAGCTGTGATGTAGTTACCATCACAGAAATGTGGTGGGATGACTCGCATGACTGGAGTGCTGCCATAGATGGCTACAAGCTCTTCAGAAGAGATAGACGAGGTAGGAGAGGTGGAGGGGTGGCTCTTTGTGTTAGAGAGTCTCTTGACTCTGTAGAACTTGAAGTCAGTGACAGTAAGGTTGAGTGCTTATGGGTCAGAATTGGGTGAAGGCCAATAAGGCCGACATCCTGATGGGAGTCTGTTATAGACCACCCAGCCAGGATGAAGAGGGTGATGAATTATTCTACAAGCAGCTGGAGGAGGTTTCAAAATTGCCAGCCATTGTTCTTGTGGGTGACTATAACCTGTTTACAAACAGAGAAGGGCTGGTGGGAGATGTGGTGGTCAGAAGCCATCTTGGGTACAGTAACCACAAAATGATAGAGTTTTCAATACTCAGTGAAGTAAGGAAGGGTGTCAAAAAAACCTCTGCCCTGGACTTCCGGAGGGCAGAATTTGGCCTACTCAGGAAGCTGTTTTGGAGAGTGCCTTAGAAAACCACCCTTAAAAACAAAGGGGTCCAGGAAGGATGGACATAATTCAAGAAAGAAATCTTGAAGGTGCAGGACCAGGCTTGTTCCTTTGTGCTCAAAGGCGAGCTGGTGGGGAAGACGACTGGCCTGGCTGAACAGGGAGATTTTGCAGGAAATTAGGGAAAAAAAGAGAGTTTATTGCCTTTGGTAAAAAGGGCAGGCAACTCATGAAGTGTTTAGGAATGTAGTTGGATCATGTAGAAAAAAAAATGAAGAGGCAAAATCACAATTTGAACTTAAGCTGACCACTTCTGTTAAGGACAACAAAAAGTGTTTTTATAAATACATCCGTAGCAGAAGAAGGGGCAAGGAGAACCTCCATTCTTTGTTAGGCACGGAGGGGAACATAGTTAACAAAGACAAGGATAAGGCTGAGGTACTTAACACCTTCTTTGGCTCAGTTTTCAACAAGACAGATTGTCCTCAGGACAACTGGCTTCCTGGGCTTGTAGACAGGGATGGGAAGCTAAGTAGTCCCCCTATAATCCAGGAGGAAGAAGTTAGTGACCTGCTGAGCCACTTGGATCTTCACAAGTCTATGGGACTTGTGGTGAGGGAGCTGGTGGAAGAGCTTGCCAGGCTGCTCTCCATCATTTATCAACAGTCCTGGCTCACTGAGGAGGTCCCAGATGATTGGAAGTTGGCGAATGTCATGCCCATCCACAGGAAGGGCCGGAAGGAAGACCTGGGAAACTATAGACCTGTCAACCTGACCTAGGTGCCCAGCAAGGTTATGGAGCCAGATCATCCTAAGTGCAATCACACAGCACCTACAGGATGGACAGAGATAAGACCCAGCCAACATGGGTTTAGGAGGGACAGGTCCTGCCTGACCAATCTGAT